TATATATATAGCATGAGCTTTTTAGCATAATCAATAAACACTTAATTTTAAGCAGCACATAAGCAAATAGAAGAGAAGACTAACAAGCCAAGATTTAATTTGCAATAAATTTAAACTGACATATATTTAAAAAGTTATATATATATACACTTCACCAACTAACTAAATTTAGAACCTCTCCCATTAACATGATAATAGGAGGATAAAGATCTCTAATCCCAGCTTTCTAATTCATTTTGCATGCATGAGATTGATTTTTATTTTCTCAAAATCATTATGATTTTGATCAAAAAACAATCATAATCATCCAAAGTGGATTGGATGGCTGAGATTTGGGAACTTCACAGTCTAATTTTACAATCTAATTATTAAAGATGAACTGATTCCCTCAAATTCACCTATTTACATTCATTTTCTCTGAAATGTTGCTCTCAAGTGAAGAGAATAAATTGCCAAAAAATGGCAATTATGCTTATCCTATAGTATTTATATTTACATACAGTGCCACTGGATCCCTCCTGTGAATCAATGATGCTGAGAATATTTCCTTTGCGCTTGCTGCCTGAAATCAGTGTTCTTTTAACTGCAAAAAATAAGACAAATGACATCTAAGATTATGCGTTACATTGTTGAAGGTTTATATGGTCCAACGGTAACATAAAAATTAGAGCTGATCAATTATAGCAAAGAGCACACATCAAGCTCCTAATTGCAAATTTGGCACAAATAATTATCTTTAAATTGCAGAGAGACTATTTTTAGTAAAATAAATAAATAAAAATTGAATTCAAACAATTTGATTAAATCTTGGCCAAGTCTTAAAATAGTTGTGTTTCAGGTTTGTCATTTCTGTAATATAAGTTTCTATTGGCTATCAATATATCACAAATATTGTCAAGCAAACATAATATTTTTAAGGAAGATTTAAATACATACCATTCAATTCCTATGTATTTAAATATCTAATACCAAAACTTTAATTTTTACATATATTCCCCATTATCTATGCATAAAAATGTGTATTTCACTTTTGCAAATTTAAAATAGTAGATTTTTTTATATGATGTGAAAGAGTTGGGTGTTATAAATATGAAAAGTAAAGTTTAGGTGTTAAATGTGTAAAAACATAGGAATTTGATGGTGTGTATGTAAATGCCTCATATTTTAAAAGCTATCCTTGCTAAAATTTGAGCAGGATATCCAAACCTAAACATTATCCTAGTAGTATGCTTCAAAACCATGATCTCTATGTTAATATGAAGGAAATATAGTCTTTTTCATGATGAGAAACTGTAAGTTAATCAGAGGTTAACTGCCTTAATTTATTTTTAACTGAAGAGCTTAAAGCAGAAATGATGCTGAAGGTTGCTTAATTGAATAATTTTGAGTTGAACTGAATTATAATGTTTCCATGCATAAAAAATGATAAAAATTTAAAAAATAAAATAAAAAATAAGCTGTAACAGGACAACTGAATTTGATATCCTGACCTGAAAATCCAGTCAGCAAAGGTGGCAACATGAGACCATGTTTGTATCTCAATGATGCCACCATGCTTTACTCGCTTAGTGCAATCTTATGGTAGTTAGAGAATTCATTTTTATAAGCGGATACCTGCATCAGAAAAAAAAAAATCAATTTTATAAGCGGATACCTGCATCAGAAAAAAAAAAATCAATTTTTTTGTTAGATATTATGAAAAATAATTCACTTTTGAAATGAAGCTCATATTCACTGAAAGGCACTGTTTAGTATCTTGTGTTAGGCAGGATTTAGCTTTCAAATTCTGCCACAGGTTATTAGGGACTTTAAAAGTTACTATTTTGATAAATGTTTCAGCTTCATTATTGGCTAAATCCAAAAATTGTTAAAACTCACGGCCAAACTATCTAAAAGATTTAAGAATTTCTCAATCTCAACAATCTATCAGGATTTAGCAAGGTTTAACTACCTGCATGCTCATAATAATGAAATTTCTGTAGGTTTAAATTCCATATTTTCAATAGGAAAGTCTGTACAGACAAATTTAACATTGAATGCACCATAATCAATTCAAAAGAAATTTAAAAAGGTACTAAATTTTTGCTATCTGTTAAATGATTGGATTTCTAATTTCTAGATTACCACCATGAATCCTGCAAAAAAGGTTCCTCCCCAAATTTCCGTTTTGAACTTTTACTTTCAAACTCAAACTCAGCTAAAAATCAGGAGACTAAAGTTCCCATCTTGTAATAGTTCTTAAACATATCAAACTGAACCAGAGAAAAAGGAAGTTATTTTATAACATCTACCAATAATTTAAAGTAAAAAGAAAAAATAAATCTGAGAAAGTTAGAAAAAATCATACCGCCTCAATATCAATCTTGTACACAAGCAGCTTTCGTCTCTCTCGACAGCTGATCCTATAAGCAGCCATCACATGAGCCATGGCGAGAGCTAAAGAGGCCAAGAACAGGGCTTCCACTGCTGGCCCTTCCTTCTCCCCAAACGAAAGCAGCTGCCTTTTTCCCGGCACTGCATCAGCTCCAAACATAGCGATCGCTTTCATGGACACAAACCCTGCAGAAATCGACGCGCAGAGGGTCGCCACTCCCAAAAACAGCCCTCGCCCACCACAGAACAAATAAAAACCTGGAAACAAAGCAAATTTTTTGTCAGCGAAAATTCATCAAACAGTTAGCAGTCATTCCAGCCGCTCACATACTTACACAATATGACCATGGATCTTGTTACAGATACAAGGGGCAAGTCGACCAGGGAAGCTCGGTACCGATAGCTTCTAATTTGGGCGGCATAGTCCGAGAAGGAGAGCGCTGGGCCGCTAGCGGCGGCGAGGAGGGCTGACGGGAGGAGGAGGTCGAGGAGAACGATGAGAAGCGGAGGAGCGCAGGTGAGGAAGAGAGAGGCGAGCATGTTAGCAACGAAAAAGAGGATCTTGGCCCCTCTCCATGCACGGCTCCAAAATCTCTCCTTTTTCGAATTCATGGCAGTTTACTCTTCTCAGAGAAGGAGAATCGAGGCGAGGAAGACGATACCAGAGGTCGGGGGGGCATCGATGGGAGATGAGACGGCGGCGAGTGAAAGGGGAGATAAATGTTGAAGGAAGGACAGCGGTTGGTTGCGAATTTTCTTCTGCATTCCATCAACGGCTCCGCAGCCGCGTGAAGGGGGTTAATTTTTGCAGTCCAAGGACGTGTGAGCCTAGTCATGGTCGCCGACGTTGGTGGAGATTGACGGCATCTGGGGCCCACAGAAGCTTCCTCCATGGTGAAGATCGGCTCCGTGAAGGGAAAAGGAGGCTCTTTCAGGGGAAAATTTTACAGACGGCCGGACACAAATTAAGCCGTTTATAAAATTTAAAAGATCTCTTTCACACATAAATTTATAATTTTTTTAAAAAAAGGCCTACTAATATAGTTATAAATTTATAATTTATGATAAAACAATTTATAATTTATGACTATTTAATAGTAGTATGTTATTTTATCAAAAGGAACAACATACTATTATCAAATAGTCACAACCCTAAATTCTAAACCCTAAACCCTAGGCTCCGTATATTAAATTTTTTATGGGTTATGACTATTTGTAGTAGTATGTTGTTTGTTTTACACATCATTTTGAGCCCTAAGTAAGAAAAGTTCTTGTAATTAGGTGGTTCAGTATTGAATTCAAATGTATTCGGTAGATCGCGTAAGGGATGGAACTTTTGGACCGAAGAAAAGAGATTCAAAGAGGGAGAGAAAGAGAGAGAGGAGAGAATATGAGGCCTTTCCCATGTCGGGGTGAATGGGGGTTGTTCTTCAGGGCTCTTAGACCCATTTTATTTCACTAAAATAATTGAGTTACAAGAGGGGGAATAAAATTTCTCATTTAAGTGAAAGGACCCTCCTATTTATAAATGATAGGGCCAAAAATAAATTACAACAATACCTTTGCTTTGAAGGGGTGAGTACAAGATGTTTTGGGTATTCTGATCTTTTTATCTGAGTCGTTGGATTGTATTGAGATCCATACATACCAATTTTGAGAATGTGATAAGGACAATGAAATTTATAAATCAAACAAACCACATATATAAATCGCTATTGATACTCTCTGTTAAACGCTCTATTCTGGTATCATTTGCTCCATCTGTTGGATGGTATGCCCATTACTACTCGTGAAGCTTATTGCCGCCGAGTGATGAATCATCTCAACGGTTGAAGACGATCATTGTACACCCATCGCGGAGCTTGTCATTGTCGGATGGTGATTTATCTCAAGGGTCAAAAAAGATCTTTGTACGCCCCTCATGGAGCTTGTCATTTCTTAGCGGTGAATCATCTCAAGAATCGAAGGTAATCACGCTACACCGCTCACGGAGTTTGTCGCTGCCGAGAGGCGAATAATCTCAAGGCTCGAAGACGATCCCTTTACACTCCTAGGAGAGCTTGTCTCTGTCGGGTGGCAAATCTTCTCTGAGCATAGAAGTTGTGTTCTAACCTTTCACTTGCATGGGTCCTTGGTAGTCCGGTCAAACCTCCGTCTTAGATTAGGTCCCCTCACTATTGGAGAATACCGCTTCGACTCCACTCCGGGATTATTGTTGTCATATCCTTCACAGAGACTATGGCTGATGTGCAAACGTCCGACGCGGATTATGAGACTTGAGCTTGTTGAAATGAAAGTCTCGTGACTTGCCCTTGAGGGTGTTTTACCCAATAGATGTCTATGGCGTCGTAACTGACGTCGCTGTCAATTTTACTAGCTGGGTTCGAGTTCCCAGAGTATCGACTGGCCACCAGCATGCATGGACGCCTTGACCTCGCCATGTTTTAACCTGATCTCTCACATATATATACAAAATATTATTATGTGCATGTATCATAGAGTATACTTTGAAGAAAATAAAATGCTTATACACCAGAAAAAGGAGCTATGGATTTTAACCTGACATCGAAACATCCATAAATTAATTTATACATTAAGGACAATAAGATGGATCCTTTGTGTGCTTATGATTATTCAAAATTGCCTAAAATAAACTTCTAGATACATAAAACAAAATAGGTTTAAATTTATGCATGTAAATAATAATAATTCTATTTGTCTAAAACACTAGATATAAAAAAAGTTTCGTTTGAAATATCATATACCCATAAAATCTTCATAAATCAGTGATTTGCCTATATTCATTTGTATATTTCACTTTATATATTGTTTATATATTTATATATTTGAAAAAAGAAGTGAGTGGTGTGTATGGTAAATCTTCTTTCTTTTATTTTATTTTATTTTTATTTTTACTTTGAAAAAAGAAGTGAGTGGTGTGTATGGTAAATCATCTTTCTTTTATTTTATTTTATTTTATTTTTATTTTTAGGAAAGAATTGAGCAGCATGCAGGTAAATATATAAATGAATAAGCATTTACTATATATATATATAGGCACTGTATATATATATATGAATATGACCGGCATGCAAGGTCGATGAACGTTGAAGCGGTTGGCCGACAGTTGGATTTAGCCTAGCTTTTGTCAGGCTGTCTGTTTGGATAAAATAAAGTCACAGATTCGTAAGTTACCTTCCTCATGGTTTTGGGTTGGAGCAGAGTGGCCAACCGGAGCGGCGATGTGGCCGAATGGCGAGAAGACGAACATTTGGACGGTCTTCGAGGTAGCTGCCAACCAGTTGATATCGGTTGGTGAAAATGTTGGAGCCGATTGGTGAAGTGGTGGTTTACTGGTGAAGTGGCGACCGGCCGGAAGAAATCGACTGTCAGGGAAGGCTCCTTTGAGGCCGTGTGGAGGAGGCTCTACAATGGCTGCCATTTGGCTGAAAACAGATAGAAGAAAATGTTGGGGTCGGTCAGTGAAGTGGCAGCCAATCAGAGGAAATTGAATGGCAGGGAAGGATCCTCAGAGGCAATGTGGAGGAGGCTCTACATTGTTGTGCCTTTCGATGAAGTGGAGAAGGAAAATACGTCAGTCTTCAACACGTTTGCCCTAGGTGCTTGATGATGGTTGTCTCACAAATAGTCAGGGAGGGACTGTGGATTTCAACAATACATTTCTTATTATGACTTTAAACATTGGAGATGAGCATCTTCTCAATGCCACACGACAGGTGAGAGGAATTTTCATGCGGGAGAGAGGACCGGTCGCTGAGGGGCAAATAAATGATTAGTGAGAAAATTGGCCAGGATACCGACGGTGTAGTTTTTTGCGCAATAGGGAGGTAGAAGCATAAGAAATCTCTAAATCTAAAAGTGGGGAGCAGATCTACAAAAAAAAAAAGAGGAGATGAAGTTTCTTGGAGATCGCCAATTGCAAGGAATAAATGTAGTGAATCCGCGGTTGTGCAATTTCCCCTTGTGTGCTTTTTGTTTAAAGTGTCTCTATAAAGGGATTATTCTCGGTATTGCTCATTTTCTTGTTGACAACACTATCCACGCTCACCACACATTCGGAGCATCAGGATCGTATTGAAAGAATAAAGCATTGGGATCAATGAAAGATGATTGATCGGAGCATCAGGATCGTATTGAAAGAATAAAGCATCGGGATCAATGAAAGATGATTGAGAGAGGGAGAGAGAGAGGGAGAGAGAGAGAGGGAGAGGAGAAGATGAGGATTTCCCCTGTCGGAGCGAATGTAGTGCTCCCCGGGGTTCTTAGATCCATTTTATTTCACTTAAATAGTTGAGTTATGAGAGCAAAAACCAAAAACACCATTTACATGAAAGGGTCATCCTATTAATAGATGGCAGGATGGTCAAAATTAAATTACAACATTGCTCTTGCTTTAAAGGGGTTAGTACGGAATTTCTTAGGTATTCTGATCTTCTTATCCGAGCCATTAGATTGCCTAAAGATCATTACAAACTATTTTTTGAACATATATTTAATTTATTTGAATGAGTTTTCTAGTTCAATAAAACTTCTTTAAAAGTCACTTTCATAGAACATAAATTGTCATTTGTGATCTAAAATGACAAAAATTTGCATTTTATTAAAACAACTCCGATAGATTCTACTTTATCAAATGAAAGCCAATCTACAGATTTCACAAGGGTTCCAAAAGATCATTGTTGAACCCTCTTTATGTTTTGCTAGCATTGGTGTTATAATGCTACGCCTTGGCAGTCGTTCTCTCTCACATAACATTCTTATCGACTCGCTCAACTTTATTTAGGGTAAACTCGCATCAACCAATTCGGCCTCCAAGTGTGTTGTGTTGACCTTCTCCGATGAGCCAATCTCCTATCTTTTGGGTGAGTCAAATCTCTTAGGCTTTGATCACCATAGACGAGGTATCAAACAAGTGTATCGTGAGTCAAATCTCTTAGGCTTTGATCACCATAGACAAGGTATCAAACATAGCTATTGATATAGCTGAAATTGTATTCAGTTATACAATTGTATTGGCAAACTTTTTTTTCTAGATGAAATGATAATGAACATAGAACTTTGGAAGATATTATAGATGAAGAGAAAAGAGAAAAGATGATAGAATTAATGTGAAACTACAGCAGCTCAATCAAATCATAATAGATACCACACCTCTTATAGGGTTAATATGTAAATTCAAAAGAAATATGTGCTAAGTAGGCAAATAACCCTTCATTACTTGTTCAATGCTCAAAATTCCAAGTAAGACAAAAAATGTTTGGTGTGATATTCCAGAAGAAGATTACTCTATTTCGTAATCAATCACATCATTCGCAACCGGGAAGTTTGCTCCGTTGAACAATGTCATGACTTCTTCCGTAAGAATCTTGTGGCCTCTGATTCTCTTCCAGAAACTTCGCTTGCTTTTATTAAGTGTATATTGGAGCAGTCCACGGCTACATTTCCCATTTATGAGGGCTATATTTTTGTTTTTTTGATAATTCTATCCCTCATAATTCAAAAATTTACACCAGAAAAAAATTAATTTAAAATAATGTAATCAAATTTTAATTTCAATCAGCATTAAAATTAATAAATTTCTTTTAGACAAATGACTGCACGTCCGGACGGCCAACACCTCATTTGCGGGTGATGTGGTGGTCGGTGGTTAGCCGTCCGGACTGAATATCTCTTATTTTTAAGAGATACAACATAAAGATCAACAAGTATTATCGGTTCCGAAGGTTCATATCCGAAGATCAAGTTATTTTTGAGCTGATCCGGCCTATCAAAGAGGTCGAGCTGAGCCAATTTTTTAAAGTGATCGAGTTAACACGAGATGAACCACTGAGCAACACTATCATTACACACAATAATATGTGTCAACCCCTTGTTATGGCTTCATTTATGTGTAAATCTTAATATTTTTAAGGCAGTGGATCATTATCATTAAT